GGCTCGTTTACACCCCTAATTTCAGTCCCGGGAAATTTACATAAATATGGTGCGATTCTTATGTATTTATATTTATAATATCTAAATTTTGATATTTATATTTATAATATTTAAATATTTATAATATCTAAATTTTGATATTTATATCTAAATATTGATATCTATATATATATATATGATATGATATAATTTATTTTATTTTTAAGAAGTTAACCATTGTGATTTTTTTTTTTTTGTTTTTGCCTTGGTTATGAAAATTTTGAGTGGTGTGTAAATATCAAAGTTTAGACATTTCATATGTAAATACATAAAATTTAAGTGATATTTATGTAAATACTCCGAAAACAATTATTAAATTTACACTGCCGCTCCTTGGGCCCATTCTACGTGCTCGCCATCATTCCTGTCTACCAACCACAAGGCCATGCCCATAGCGTGCATTCCCAAACTCGCTGTATCTCACTACCTCTCCAGTTATTGACTGATGACCAAACGCCAAAAAAAAACCTATTTTGACTGGTTATCGATTAATGTCCACCCTGCTCCATTAAAGCTCCCATCTTTCCCCCATTTCCTCCTCCCTCTTCAACTCTCTCTCTCTCTCATGGCTCTCCTTCCCCTCCTCTCTCCCCTTCTTCTCATCGCCGCCGCCACATCTCCTTCCTTCGCCACCAACTCCGAAGGTATTGTCTTTACATCAACCTAACCCCATAACTCCATTCTCGCCACCAACTCCGAAGGTATTGTCTTGTCTTTACATCAACCTAACCCCATAACTCCATTCTTCTCTCTAACAGCCGAAACCCTTTTCTTTCCGTTTCTCTTCATCCTCTTCATCTTTGCCGTGGAACAGGGGAAGCGCTGCACTCTCTCAGAACTCATCTTTCAGATCCCACCAACGTTCTACAGAGCTGGGATCCAACTCTCGTCAACCCCTGCACTTGGTTCCACGTAACTTGCAACGATCAAAACCACGTAATACGACTGTAAGCACGGTCTCTCCTTCTTCTTCCTTTTCTTTTCTCTGTAAGTCAATAAAAATCTCATCTTTGGAAGTTTAATGCAGTGATTTGGGAAACTCCAACATCTCCGGCCCGCTAGGTCCCGAGCTGGGTCACCTCAAGCATCTCCAGTACCTGTGAGTGCGATTTTCCTCATCAAAACTAATTCTTTTTTGTTGGATTATTCTTCTCATGTTGAAAATTCGAAGCTTTGATTCTGGTAAATTGCAGAGAGCTTTACAGAAACAATTTTGATGGTAAGATTCCGAAGGCGTTGGGAAATTTAGAGAACTTGGTTAGTTTGGATTTGTTCGGAAACAAACTTGAGGGGCAGATCCCAAACTCCTTTTCCAAGCTGAAGAAGCTCCGATTTCTGTAAGCAAATTATCCTTTTTCTTGATTACTAAAGCTTTTGTTGGTTCCTGTTTATAGTTTAATCTGATGAAAAATTGGTTTTTTTTTTTTTTTTTTGGTTTAAAATTGAAGGAGATTAAACAATTTAGGAATAGGCTGACTGGTTCCATTCCTAGAGAGCTCGCCACTCTTCCGAATCTCAGAGTCTTGTAAGAAAGAAAACTCTGTGGATTAATTCTATCTTGTAGTATCTATTTTCTTAATATTTACAAATAATTATGAATTATTTTTTCACAGTGATGTTTCCAACAATGATATCTGTGGAACCATTCCAATTGATGGACCATTTGCCAATTTCCCCATCCAAAGGTAAGGATGCTCCAAAATTAACAAAGTATTCCAATTCTTTATCTAAGCATGTTGGTAATTTTTTTTATTTGTATGAAATGTTCTTATAGTTATATTTTCTTCTAATATTTTTGTTCGAATTTATAATCACAATGGACTGTTTAAAAGCTGTGGTAGCAATAACATCTTTGCTGTAAGACATAAAGAACAATTTTATTATTTTATAAATTTCACTTATATAGGGGGTGGGCATTGAATCTATCTCGCACACTAAGAGTTTCTCCACTGTATCGATCGTTACTCCCCTTCAAACTTCGGGTCCGTTTGGATTGTTGCGTCTGTTTGAAGAAGCAATTGTGAAGCCTTTGTAAAAGAAATTGGCTCTTGAAAAAATTGTGGTAGATATTATAGTTTTATTTTAATTTCAAAAAGTCATACCGCAACTTACTGCCACAGAAATTTATAGAAAACAACAATTAATCAATTCGCCGAACAGAGCCACCGTGACAGCCTAAAAAGCAAAGCAGTCTCAAAGCTATCTCGACCAAACCCTTAAGCTTTTCATAGGGATGATCAATTCGAACCTTAACGCTGGAGATAGAATGTTGAGATGCACATGAGAATTAAGAATTAAGTTTGTATCAAAAATGGAAAAAACCGTTGAGTTCTTCATTTGAGGGGTTCTTGCCTTAATTTACATTTTTGGCTTATTTCATCCATAGAACAGATTAAGACTGAGCACATGATTATTATCTATAATTATTAGCAGTTTAAATTATTAATGAGTGCAATATGATATTATAGTCGCTAATAACTGATTAATATTTCACTGTTCATACATGCAGTTTCGAGAACAACAGCAAGCTGAATGGACCCCAACTGCAAGGACTTGTGCCTTATGATTTTGGATGTTGATTGCATTTTTAATTTAAATTTTTAGAGTAAAAATATTGTATGGCTCTATGTTTTTTTTTTAATTTATTTCTTAGTTATATAATTTAGTATATTGTAACATCTATAAGATATTATTTAATGTCTTATTGATGAATGAGTGCATGAAATGTAGTGTGTACGATGGCTTAGTGTTGGGCATGAATGTCATTTAAATTGTGAGGCCACTGAAATTGGAATTGATGTGATGTATATTTGGATTTTTCTAAATTAAAATTATTTGTAAAAAGTAAATGTTATTATTCTTAGATTAGGCTTTTGCAGGGCAGAATCAGCATAAATTTTGAGTCAAGCTTACTCGTGAGCTGGCTGGCTCGAAAGTGGCTTGTGAACTGAGTTCAAAGAGCATAAGTCAAGCTCAGCTAGCCCCTGCTTGACCATTAGCTCATGAGTCTGCTTATGTAAAAAAAATATTAATATAAAAGATATTTAAAGTATCAAAAATATTTAAAAAATAGTATTTTATATTTTATATTTTATATCAAGTAAAATTTTAATGATTTTCTTTTAATTGCTCATTTTATTTTTTATTTTATTATAATATTATCTTAAATTAATATTATTTACTTTGATTTTTAATAAATAAGCTGACCTGGACTTGTTAACTTAAGCTTTAGTTCGAGCTTTAACTGGATAAATTAATCAAGCTTAAGTGCTAGATTGTTTACTCTCCAACTTAAGCTGACTCACACAAATGCCAAGTTCTAAATATAACTAAACACCAAAAAAAAATAATAATAATAAAGGGAAGATTAACATAAATTTTCCTAAATTTATATGTATTTACATATCTAACTTCTAAATTCAATTTTTATAAATATGCCATCTTATTTGAGTTAAAACAATGATATTTTTGGTTTGATATAAAAAAATTAGGTGGTCCAAACATAAAAAATAAAGTTTAGGTGAAAGACATGTAAATGCTCAGGAATTAGGTGGTATGCATGTAAATTCCCCAAAAATTTTATTTCACACGTGTAATTCAAGAAAATTATCATTAAGCTAGCAGCTTTTTTTGGTTCAAATTACCTAATTTGTCAAATGATATCAACAGTTAAGTCATATTGATACATAACCGCACAACACCATCAAAATTTGATTCTAAAGTGTTCTTTGCTCCAGGCCCATTTTCGACATGGTTACACCACTCTTCTGCTAGGGCCAACATGGTCACGCCTGATTGTGGCGTTGTCATGCCGCCCTACTGCAACCCATGACGTTGTCACGTTATTTTCGAGCGTGGTCAAGGTATCACAATCTTTTTAAGTTTAGATGTATCTCAAAATTCTTAAATTTATTTTGTGATGGGATGCAACACATGAAACAAAAAAAAAAAAAAAAAAAAAAAAAAAAATTTGTATCAATTTTTTTCTCAAAAAAATTCAATAACTTTTAAAATTGACAGAAAAAAAAAATTTATTAGGATCCAAACATGCAAAGCAGCTCTCAATTAAAATGCAATGCCTTTTCAAATCCGGAATACCCCAAATACAATTGAATAAGTATCAAATGACATAAATAACCCAATTAAATAAAAAAATATAAATATTTAGAAAAAAGAAATGAAGTGATTTAACTCCAGCTCCGTTATTAATTGCGCGTCCTGCGATCCTCAGCAGCTCTTATCTGTGAGAAATAGGAGTGTGCCTGCAATTTATAATGCATGTGTTTATATTTGTGTATGAATAGATCACACTGACATTCATGAATGCATGTTAGTATGGTTTATACCTAGGGGTGTAAAAAAGACAAGCCGGCTCAAGCTCAACTCATTAACAAGCTCGCGAGTCGAGCTCGACAAGCTCGATCACAAACTCAAACTCTTTTATTAAACGAGCTCAAAGTTCAAGCTTATCTAGGCATGACTTGTTAGCTCGACTAGCCATTTGATGGTCCCTCGATGCTTTCTTAGGCGAGTTATCGTCATACTCATTCTTCTCCAGCCATCCATTCCTTTGGTGAGTTCTCACACGAACCTGTTGACATCACTGCGAGCCAAACTAGAGCTCTCCATTCGAGCTAAAGCTTGCATTTTGACATGCAGCGAGGCTCGAGTTAGGCATAACTTGAGCTAGGCTCGCCTAATTTACACCCCTAGTTATATCTATAATAAATGTATAAAGAAACCTTAAACAATTTAAAGAAAAAAGAAATAAATTACAATCGCTTCTCGCGCGGTTAGCCGTTCCTGATGATCATATCGAAGAACCTTGTCAAGAAGATCTAATGCCTGAATTACATAATTTTGAACATTAGATAACTAAGTAGTAGTAAATCACTGAATACAACAACAAAAGTGCAAATGTTAGTTTTCATTGCAATAGAACTGCTCCAAAGTGCAAAGAAAAATATAACCTCAGCAGAAACAAGATGCTGGTTGTCAGAATTTATAAACTTTGACCACGCCTTCCTGCTGTGCCTGGAATCAGTTAATAAAATAAAAAATAAAAATTTCAAACTATGCATGTCAGATGTTAACATGAATTACTATTGCATTAAGGAAAAAAAAAAGGAAATTTTCATAAATACCACACAATTCTTATGCATTTACATATCTAACATATACTAGTGCATTAAAGAAAAAAAAAAGAAGGAAATTTACATATCTAACACCTAGACTTTCTAATTTACATTTATAACACTTTGATGTGATAAATTTATGCATGAAAGGATGCATTTCACTTTTAAAAGTAGATGATAGTGGTATTTTTTTTATTTGATGTTAAAGATTTGAGTGCTCTGCAGTTAGATATTAAAGTTTGGGTGTTACATATATAAATACATAAGAATTTATTTCACTTTTAAAAGTAGATGATAATGATATTTTTCTTATTTGAAGTTAAAGATTTGAGTGCTATGTAGTTAAATATTAAAGATTGGGTGTTACATATATAAATACATAAGAATTGTGAGGTATGTATGTAAATGCTCCCCAAAAAAAGTCTCCTATATTTTACAACAAAGTACCTTCCAACCATAGCTTCTAGTTCGGGATCAAGTTCCAGTTTATATTTCTTCAAATAAGCACATAACTTATCTGTTCCAAGAACCTTGGAAAAAAAAAACAAAGAAGGAATTAGCAAAGTGGACAACATGGTAAGGTACAATAATAAAAAAAAAAAGAGGGGGATACCTATAAAAAGTACAAAATCACTGATATCTAATGCCTTTAGGTCAAAATAAAAAAATAAAAAATAAGGATTTTGGAAATCCATATACCTATAAAATGTGAATCAAGCTGAAAATAAAATAAAGAAAATATCCGGTAGTACAACGAAGAAAGCTTCATGTTGGAAGTGGTTTCTACCTTGGAAATTTTAACAAGCTGGTCATTATTGCCAACTCCATAGAAAAATGGATCCTTACGAAATATCTGCAATCAAATGATAGAATAATGCCTCGCCGACTTGTAATGGAGAAATCTTTGTTTTTAAATGTTTTACAAAAAGAGAAGGCACTCACCATAGAAGCAAACATGCAACCAAGGCTCCACATGTCTAGGGAGTAGTCATAATGTTGGAAATCAACAAGGAGTTCAGGTCCCTTAAAATATCTGCGCATTAAGGGAGCTTTGTCATTGAGCATTATTTCTTGCTGAAAAAGACTTTCAAAACAATATTGTTCTATTGTACACTAATCATTAATAAGGCTAAATCAATCAAGACAGAATGCTTCCCTAAACTCATCTTTAAGCATGAAATTATCAGAAAACTTGAACTCCTCTCAAATTTGAATTGAACTCGTCGTAGCTCGTCTCAGGTTTGAAATTATCATAGAATTTAAACCGGTCTTAAACTTGAGTCATTAGAGAGCATAAACTTGTCTCATACTTCAAGGAAGTCGTCAAAGAGCCTAATTTGTCTCATAATTAAAGTTGTCCAATAAAGAGTGAAACTCGTCTACTGAAATCAGCAAGTAGTCCAAAGCTGCCAAAGCCACTTGCCAAGCTACTCGAACTGAGCTAACTTGGCCAGGATGTCCAAGTCATCCAACATGGCTACTTGTAAGAACTTAGTCAAACATGGTGAAGTTGACTGCAGTCGTACGAGAGGTTGTTCCTTATTTGGAAATCACCATGCGCAATCGGTGTAATTAAATGGTTACTTGCCTTCATTTTGTAGCATTTTTTTAATAAGCTTGCCCATGTAATTTACTTATTTGCCTTCAAATGTATTATTTTGTATAGCGTTTTGCCATAATCATGCATATAAATAGAAGCCAAATGGTAATTCCATGACACATTCAATTAACATTCGTATTATATTTTTTGGCAATAGTATAAGAAATCTTAGAGCTTTTTTCTTCCAATATATATTCTCTCTTATTACTTGAACCATTCTTATGACAAAAGCTCTGATATTGCTCACAAAAATTTGACATTTTTTTAGATGCAATGAACATGGCAGCCACGGACAAATGCCATGTTGTGAGATATGTACTTCCTGGCATAGAAATAAGACGAAAAAAAAAGAACACAAGCAAACACAGATCGTTTACGTGGTTCGATCCAACTGGATCTACGTCCACGGAAGAGAATCGATCAAATATTTCACTAAGGCAAAAGAAATGGAGAATACATAGCTTATACATAGAGATGAGCCCTCATCTTCCTTCTATAACCTCCCTCTCAAGCAACACCTTGATACAAGGCCTCAAGATGCTCTCCTCCTCTCTAGCTCTCTAGTTATTCTCTCATCCTTTGTGGTAGCTTAAGATCTCTTCCCTTGCACTTCTAGGCCTCACACCCTCTCTATTTATAGAAGTAAGAGAGTGGAAGGTGGGAGGTAGGTGAGAGGTAGGTGGGTGGTAGGTGAGCGGTAGGTGAGATGTGGTAGGTGGCGTCATTTTATCTTAGTTCGTTAATTGGGGGTCAAAATAACAATTTTTCACATTGACCCTCAATTGAGAAACTTCGAAGTAAAGATTCCCTCCACCTGACCCCTGAGAGGCCCTCAGCCCTTGGTAAAGTTTACTAAGTCCAGACAGTGTCTGAACTTAGCTGTCGGTAGCACCTTGGTGAGCATATCAGTAGGATTTTCTTCAGTAGGTATCTTCTCCTCTACTATTGAACCCTTGTTGACGACATCCCTCACAAAATGAAGCTTTATATCTATATGCTTGGATCTTTCATGAAACACCTGATTTCTAGTTAGATGAATGGTGCTTTGGTTGTCGCAAAACACAGTTATCACCTTCTGATGTATCCCAAGCTCTTCGGCCATGCCCTTTAGCCACATAGCTTCCTTGATTGCTTCAGTCACAGCGATGTATTCGGCTTCTGTTGTTGAGAGGGCCACAATGGATTAGAGGTTAAACTTCCAACTGACTGCGGTATCGAAGACAGTGAAAATGAATCCTGTCAGAGGCTTCCTGGCATGGTGTCAATGCTTCCTGTATAATCGGAGTCCATTTAACCAACTACCTTTTCTTTCAAAGAGTAGACCAAGGTCTGTAGTGTCTCTCAGGTACCTCAGGATCCATTTTAGTGCTCCCAGTGAGACTGTCCTGGGTTTGCCATGAACCTGCTTATAATGGTGATGACGTAGGCCAAATCTGGTCTGTTACAGATCATCACATACATGATGCTACCAACCCCGCTGGCATAAGGGACACCCTCCATGTACATTTTCTCATCTTTAGTCTTTGTGCTTGAGAGTTTGACAATCTGAAGTGTTGGCCAATAGGTGTTGCAACCTGCTTAGCCTCATGCATTTTGAATCTTGCTAGAACCTTCTGAATATATGACTTTTGAGACAAGAATAAGGTGTCATTTTTCCTATCTCTAATAATCTCCATCCCTAGGATCTTTTTTAGCAGGTCCTAGGTCCTTCATGTCAAATTCAGAATTGTGCATACCTTTGATATTCTGGATTTCCTTTTTGCTTCTGCTGGCTACTAACATATCATCCACATAAAGAAGCAAGTAGATATTTATTTCACTGTCTTGCTATTTCATGTTCACGCAACTGTCGTAGCTGCATCTGACAAATCCGAACTTCAGCATGAACTCATTAAATTGTTTGTACCATTGTCTGGGGCTTTGTTTCAGAGCCAATAGGTGCTGCAACCTGCTTAGCCTCATGCATGTTGAACCTTGCTAGAACCTTCTGAATATATGACTTTTGAGATAAGAATAAGGTGTCATTTTTCCTATCTCTAGTAAGCTCCATCCCTAGGATCTTTGTAGCAGGTCCTAGGTCCTTCATGTCAAATTCAGAATTGAGCAACCTTTGATCTTCTGGATTTCCTCCTTGCTTTTGCTGGCTACTAACATATCATCCACATAAAGAAGCAAGTAGGTACTTATTTCACCATCTTGCCACTTCATGTACACGCAATTGTTGTAGCTGCATCTGACAAATCCGATCTTTAGCATGAACTCATTAAATCGTTTGTACCATTGTCTGGGGCTTTGTTTTAGTCCATACAAAGCTTTCTTCAGCAAGCAAACTTTGTCCTTTGTCTCAGGTGTGCAGTACCCATCTGGCTGATCCATGTAGATGGTTTCTTCAAGCTCTCCATGCAGGAACGCAGTCTTAACATCTAGCTGCACTAATTCCAAATTAAATTGAACTGCTAGTGCTAAGACTATCCTAATAGAGCAGTGTTTCACGACGGGTGAGAAGATTTTGTTGAAGTCGATTCCTTCTACCTGAGTGAATCCCTTTGCAACGAGTCTGGCTTTGTACCTGATCCTCTCAATGCCTGACGTGCCTTCTTTCTTCTTAAAGATTCACTTGCAACCAACCACTCGTTTCTTCTTTGGTCGATCCACAAGTTCTCAGGTTTTGTTCTTCATCAGAGAAGCCATTTCCTCATCCATTGCCTCTTCCCACCTGAGTCTTTCCTTACTCTTTAGAGCTTCCTTGTAGTTGCTCGGTTCTGCTTCTTCTATCTCTTCGGCAACACTTAAAGCATATGAGATTATATCTGCATGACCGTATCTATCTGGCGGTCAGATAGTTCTTCTTTGTCTGTCCCTTACCAAGCTGTAGTTATCAGATCTTCTTTCTGGCTCAATCACTTGCTGCTCCTCTGCCACTTCATCTTGATTGTTCACAACAGTCCTTTGATCTGTCAAAGTTTGTTGTTGCTGCAGCTCCACCTCAATTGAAGAATCCTCCTTAGTGATGTTGTTTTTGACAGCATCGCTATACAGATTTGCCATTTTGGACTCATCGAATGTCACATCTCTACTGATGATGCATTTCTGTTGATCTAGGCACCAGAGTTTGTAGCCCTTGGTTTCCAGCTTATCCTGTCTAGCATGAGCATATGCAGTACATCCAAAAGTCTTGAGATTATCATAGTTACCTGGTTTCCCGTACCACATCTCCGAAAATGTCTTCATATCGATAGCAGTTGATGGGCATCTGTTGATAAGGTAGCAGACGGTTGACACAGCTTCACCCCAGAAACTTTTGGGTAGACCTGCATTTAGCAGCATGCACCTCACTCTCTCTAGGAGAGTCCTGTTCATCCTCTCAGCCAGGCCATTCTGTTGAGGAGTGTTCCGGACTGTCTTGTGCCTTGTGATGCCATTCCTCCTGCACAGCTCCTCGAACTGCTCTGAACAGTACTCTAAGCCATTGTCAGTTCTCAAGTGCTTCAGCTTGGTTTCCATCTTATTTTCTGTGACAGTTAGCCAGTCCCTGAACCTCTGAAAAGCTTCATCTTTTGATTTAAGGATGAAAACCCATACCTTCCTGGTATAGTCATCTATGATGGACATGAAGTATCTCCCTCCTCCATGAGTCTGAGTTCTGGCTGGCCCCCATAGATCGCTGTGAACATAGTCAAGGGGTTTCTTTGATGAGTGAGTTCCGGTAGAGAACTTCACCCTGATGGCCTTCCCCAAAAC